TGAAATATTTATTGAGAATAAATAGAAATTAATATAAATACAATATAAAAATAACATTAATATAATATGTTATATAAATAATATATATATGTATATATATATATATATTTTTTTTTTTTAATTGTATATTTATATATTTATGTTTATTTATATTATAGAATAATATATTTATATAAATAATATATGAATAATATAGCATTCACACATTAGATTTTCCAGTAAGACTATCAAGCAAGTGTGAAAATTAAGAATGCTAGTTTTAACAATAGTTTCAACCATATGTGTAATTAAGTCTTTTAAAATAATTTCAGATGCATGATGTTAGACACCACTGTACACAGTCGCCACAGTATTCTAATCTCTTGGATGCTATGGATATAGAAGATCCTGTCATAGCTAATTGCTTGATAGATCAACGTGAAATTGAGTGTATTCTTCTTATACCAACAAGTGAAGAGGCCTGCGTGATAATGTCGGACATGACGAAAGTGCCAAGAAATTGCAAACGAGCGTTTACTTTACGTGGAGACACATTCTACCCTGATCCAAATTACAGAACTTATGGCGGAAAGTGTACACGCGCTAAGTATCTTCAAGTTTCTGTCATGGAAATGATGCAGTAAGTGCAACAACTAAATCCACTTTAGAATAGTAAACTCTACTCGACTCAATTTCATTCGTAAAAGAAAATTTAATACAAATAATTCATATTAACTTTTCACGTAGAACGCTGAAAGAAGAACTTCAAATAGCTGAAAACAAAAAGCAAGAAGCCGATGCAGAACATGACGCTATACGTGACAAAGTTGCTCGCACTAATTCCGAATTGAGTAACGTAACCAAGACGGTCCATAAGCTAAGATCTCAGCAAAGTGATTGTTCTAATCGTATTAATGAACTGAAAGATAAAATTGGTTCGCATGAAGCCACTTCTGTTGATGTTTTCGTGAGTAATCGGTATTGATGTATTATTCTTATTTTCTAGAACAAAATAGCTACATTGTTTAATTTATTATTTATAGCGTAATGAAGCTGCAGAGTTGGGAAAGAAAATAGCACAGGAAAGTAGCTTGGAAAAGGCTTTAGCTGAAAATGTGCAGGAGCTTCAGAAGACTGTTGAGTCTCTCGACGCGGAAGTTAAGCGATGCAGAGATTTGAGGCACAATTTACACACAGTGATTGATCCTCTTAAGGTATGTTTATATTGACAGTTGAATGCATTAATCTCTATTAATAATAATTAATATTAATAAGAATAATAAATAATATTTTATGTATACTTTGCGCAGGATCAAATAAGAGAATTGACACGGGATAAGGAAAGGCATAAGCACGAGTGTCAGCGTGCTATTCGAAAATTACAAGAAATTCGTCAAGCCATACAGTGCGCAACGGGGGAATTCGAAATACAAAAGAGAGCGGTAAATAAAGCGGTTTCCAACGCTACTGAAAAAGGTCCCAGGATAAACACTACCAGGTTAGCATTATAAAATAATGTAACATGATGTATAACCAAAATTATTCTTTTTTATTATTTCAAACACGTCTAAATTCTTAATTTTTATTTATATATTATATATATACATATATATATATATTACGTTTCTTCGATATTCCTTTTACAGATCGGCAAATCAAATCAAAACTTTACTAACTGAGTTACGGGATAAGATTCGCGAGATAGAAAGCCAGTTTGGCTGTTTGGATGAATTACGGCGACAACTGAAAGAAAAGGAAGAAAAGTATGGAGTAAACATTGAATTTGCAGCTCAACTGAAACAAAGTTGCGAAGTAAGTAAATTATCTATATAATTTTTATGGACTATTCGTTATTTTACTCGAGGGAACACATTTTACAATACATTCATATACTTTATAGGCACACATCGAACGAGTGAAGCATCGGCAGAATATGTTCCTCCAACTAAGGGACTTGTATAGTGTCTGTGTGCAGAAAGCTTTCACCGATGTGCTTTCTTTAAGACAATATAAGGTAACAAAAAAAAAATACTTTTTTAAATCATATTTTATTAATTATTATTCACAAATGCTTTTTCTTTTTACCAGGGTACTGTGGTGATCGATCATACAAACAAACTGCTCGAATTACATGTTAGTGCACGGAATGATAAAAAGTCGGGCAACGACACCAGATCGCTTTCGGGAGGCGAACGATCTTACTCGACCGTCGCGTTCATCTTGGCTCTCTGGGATTGCATTCAGCTACCCTTCTACATTCTCGATGAATTCGATGTGTTCATGGTAAGCCGTTATTATAGTTCTTGGTCTATATTTCTGAAATTTGTCTTGCATAAAGAAATAACGTCTTGCGTTCTTATTTGTAGGATAAAGTAAACAGGCGAGTTATAATGGATATTCTTTTGGATCACACTAAATTGCATCCACAGAGTCAATTTGCTTTCCTCACGCCTCTAGACACGTCACACATACTTGCCGAGGATTACGTAACAATTCATCAGTAAGTTGAAGTTTTAATCGAAAAAAATATAATTAAGCGTGTTGTTTATTTTATATAAACATATATGAATAGATTTTTTAATATCAAAATTCGTAATATTGTAAAACAAATTTAACAATTTTAGAAACATAATGCTTTGAATACATGTAATATTTCCTTTTTTAGGTTACAAGCACCAGAGAGAAGAACTTTGAATCAGTGAACATTTAAAGTTTTTTTTTTTATTTTTTATTTTTACTGATTCAATAATGTTTTCACGTTTGTGAGATAGAAAAGTGATATTGAGTTTAAGCGCATTGAAATATGTGTTATGTATGAAACTGTTTTCTAGCAATAAGCGAAAATAATTTATTTTGTTTCATATTGTTAGAAGAGAAAAGTAGATGCTTAAAAACTGAGCGCCAAAACACAAATTTATTTTGCGCGCTTTATGTCAAAGTGAACAGAAGACTTTGTTCAAAATATATGTTTTTGTACGCACGATATATAGGTATTCTTTAGATAATTCGGATTACTCGCGATTTATTTAAATTACGATGCTCTGAATAAGTGCTTTAGAATGTTAAAAGTGCCTTCTATTGTATCGGAGTAGTAAATGCGATTTACACAGGTATTTTCTTTTAATAATAAAGTTCTATTAAATTATATTTTGTAGCATGTTACGACAATTCGTTTAAATTTCAAGTTCAATTCCTTACCAGACTCCCACATATCTCCAGTCTCATCTAAGTATGACGTAATTATTTCATATTCGGATAAACTAAATGGAAGATTCGCGAGAGACTTCTCTTCAGGTTTTCGTTGCCAAAACAGACGGGATATCCAGAGTAGCCAGAGAGACGGGCAAGAGGAATAAGGTACGTACGAAACATTGTTCGTTGTGGACCACGCCAGACCGGTGAGTGAATCAAGGTTCGCACGGCATTGCGCGAATCTGGTCCAGCCGGGATTAAGTTACTTTACCGAGTTTTACCAAATGAGCAGTTTTCGTCGACGTCGTGCCGTTCGATGTCAATGGAGCCTCTGCGCAAATTGGATGCATACTGGTGGTAGTGTCGAGATGCACGTCGCCGTTATCCAAGTCCGGGTCCTCGTCCCTGGTCAACTTCTTCGCTAGCAGATCGTTCACATAACGCTCTATCAGGTTGCAAATTCTGTGCGGTTTTATCGCACTATTGCCGTTACTCACCACAAAAGGCAATAGTGCTTCGGACATTTCTGTATTCTCAATACACATTCGCTGTAGCTCAGCCAGTGCCTCGTGCATGAAGCGAACATTGTTCTTGCGATCGGTCAACGGATTCTCGCCGTATCCCAACGCTCTAGATGCTCCGTCGTTCGTCTGCCTCGGTAGAGTCGCTGTTTTTGGTCATTGGCAGTTAACATAGTAGTGGTGAAGCCCATTGGAAACTTGGATTGACCACGCAAATTATTTTCCAACGGTCTACCGTTAGAAGCTGCCTCGTTATTGCTGCCTTGTTTCTGTTGCGCCACATCGTAACCTTTAACGAATTCATCCGTAGGCAGAGGCACGTTTACCTTCGGAGCGGTCTAAGCCACGTTGTACTCGACGTCCTGGGCGTTTGGATTTACCGGTTGACCTGTAGAACGAGCTAAACTCTACTGCGACAGAGCGGAATGTCGCCATCTCTGGCGAATGGTCTGCTTCGTCGGTGCCTCTAAAGACAATTGGGTCGACCTGGCCGTTTTTGAGCGGATGCTCGAGAGCCAATCTCCAGAAGAAGAAGAAGGCATCGCTATTATGGCGTTCTCGGCGATGTTGAGCGACAATTTCACCGAAGTCGATATGTCGCACGGTTCGCAATCAGGGTAATTGTGTCGCATTGCCGCGTTCAACTGGTTCAACTGGAGCACGGTCTTACCGTGAACTGGAGCATACGCTCGTAGCTCTCGCCCTGTCCGGCCAGAAGATTATCCCGCCGCATGTATACTTCAGTATCTTCTTCCGCGAATTCCAGGTGCCGTGATAAGGCGGATCTTGCTCGTCCAAGAAAGCCGCTGTTAGTATCATGATAGGAGTGGGTTCTCGCTGCGTGAACAGCTTCCTGCGCGCCGTCAATGTCTGACCCATGTTCAGTTCCAGCCGAGCGTTTTTTATCCTCTCCTCAAGTTCGCGTTTTGCCTCCAACAGCTTCGCACATTAAGCCTAGCATGTCCATATGCAGTCCATTCACCTCCAAGCGATGCGTCTTTACGCTGACGATTTCGTTATGTCATTGTTGAAGACAGGCTGAAGACCAAGCCGTTGCTGAGCCTTCACGAACAGCGACGTGGACACCGGGCCCAATTTCGACTATATCGTGCCGAGCTTCTTATCTCCCGGACTGACGGTGATCGGTGACACGACGCCGGTCTAATCAGAATAGGATTCTGAATGACTAACTTCACGTTCGAATTCGGGATCGTGCAAGGAACACGATTAAGACTTTGGCGGAACTAGATCTAATTTAGGTTGAGCGTGATCGTTCCGGGCTTCGGTGGCGGAAGTAAAGAAGTGATTGCAGTTTCCGACATCGGTGATGGTTGTGACTATTTGTTCTTGTTAAGTACTGTAGAATGAACGACGTTCAGTCATATCGTTAACGGTCTGGCGGAAAGTGCGGGAACGGACAGGAACCTTCTGGAGCGCGGATGAGAACGTTGGATTCGTTCAAGGTCGACAGGAGACGGTGGAGAGCTGTGAACTACAAATCGTAAAAATCATATAACGGCTAAAATAATGAGAAAATCGCACTTCAACTGCGATATTCGCAATCAGCAGCATCACCTTCAAACTGCTACTGCTACAGAGCGATTTGGAAAATTTATTTTGACCATTTTTCCAAAAAATCGCTCTGTAGCAGTTTGTTTGAGGACGATGCTGCTGATTATGAAAATCGTAGTTGAAGTGCGATTTTCTCATTATTGTGGCCGTTATACGGATTTTACGATTCGTAGTTCACGTGTTTCCACCGTGTCTCCTGTCGACCCCGCTCGCAACGTTGCAACGCTCGTGAAATCATTTCATCCTTGTTGTTTATCAAATGTTAAACAAGGACGAAACGATGTTGTGGCACGCACCCGTCTGCATGGTTTTCGATTGTTTCTGTATCCAGTATCGGAGTCGTTGGAGATCGCTGAGCTGATGCTCGGCGGACGGATCGCTTGAAGAGTGCTCCTCTCACCGCGGATCCACGAGGAAGTCAACGGTGGAATCACGCAGGAACAGCGGTTCTTGACAACGGCGTCGTCACGACGACAGGATTTGAAACGGCAGGATTGCGTGTCATCGCTTTTCGTTTAAATGGATGAGCTGTCGATCAACACCGCGAAAAACATGGAAAGCGTGGAAAGCGACACGGAGGCTCAACGCCTGAGAAGAGCGGCGGTGATGGTCGACGGACACCAGGCAAAACGTTCCAAGCGTACCGAGGATGGCGAGGAAGTGGTGCAGAACGGAGAAGTATCTTGGCACATCAATAACAATTTTCCCAGCTAGTCGAACAAACATACAATCAATTGAACATTAAACTTTGAAACATCAAATTTTACCTAAATCCTTGGGAGGATTATTGGAAGGCTACAAGGGTTTGGTATGTAACCTAGATAGATTCATCCTGGCCTTGCAGTTTATAATTTTTGTATAATGGGTCAATCAATTTTATTTAGAAACAAATTTTATCTAAATTCTTGTAAAAATTATTGGAAAATCTACAAAGGCTTGGTATTAACCTAGGTTCATATTAGTTTTGCATTTTATAATTTTTGTGTAAATGGATTAATCAATTTTGTTTAGGATTATTGTAATCTTTTTCAATATATTTGATATTGCGTAAAATTGATTAAATGTTAAGTTTTGAAATATCAAATTTTACTTCAATCCTTAGGAGGATTATTAGGCCTGTTTGTTTTCGTTGCATTTCTGAACTAGTGCAATAAGTTTAGAATGAAACGAATATATTATCTTTTAAATCTAACTTATTGCACTAGTTAAGAAGTGCATCCATAATCATGTTGTTTGTTTCAGTATTATAGAACTGGAAAGGTGAAAAAGATTCACCTTCTTAACTTCATGTGTCATGATGCCTTAGAATTAACATTAAATGAGAATGTTAACTCTATTGTGGGACTCAGTGACAGTGGCAAAAGCGCTATATTGACTGCATTGACTGTAGGGCTCGATACGAGAGCAAATGTTACGAGAGGGGGAACTTCTGTCGAAAGTATTATTACATTATGAGTTTTTTTTTATATCGCATTGTGAAAATGTGAAACAATTCAATAATTGCCAGCTGTGATGTTTTAGAGTTTATAAAGAAGGACAGGAACTCTGCTACCGTTGAGATAATATTAGTTAATAAAGGAGACACTGCATATAAACCTGACATTTATGGCGACACAATTACAGTTATACGTAACATTGGAAATACCTCGTCGTATAATATTAAAAATTGGAAAGGTACTTGGATATACATTTTATTTTTAATGATCTAAGTGATGTGTACTTATGCATCTGTACTTACAGAAATTTGTCATTTGCAGGAGAAGTTGTTTCTACAAAACAAGATGAATTGGACAGTATCATAACGACGATGAATATACAAATTGATAATCCAATATCTGTTTTGAATCAGGAAGTTTCAAGAAAATGTTTTGTTACCTCTAAGCCTGATGAAAAGTACAATTTATTCATGAAAGCCACTCTCTTGGATGGTATTGAAAATAATTATAAGGAGGCTCTCTATATATGCGAAGAGGAATACAATAAATTAAGGACATATTCTGCGGTGTGTACACTATACTTATTTTATTTTATTGTAGACAGTCATTTTCATCAAAAGTTGTTTCAGGCCTTGTCGCAAGTAAAGGGAGAGATACAGAAATTGAAGGAAAGTATACATAGATTAGAGGAAATGGATGAATCACGAGCAGAATTAAGTAATCTCGAAACGGAATTTCAGTGGGCTATGGTAAGTTTCAATTTCAAAAATATATAAATTGCCAAAGAAATTTTTAGAATAATAGTTTCATTATTTAGGCGATTACGGAGGAAAACAAACTTCACAAAATACAAGAGAACTTAAAAACGTATGAAAATAATTTGCAAGAGCTTCAGAATGTGGAATCATCTATTGGAACAAAGGACGAAGAAATTGATACAAAAATTCAGTAAGAATTAATTTGAAATAAATAAAATCAAACTAGAATTTACTTTCTAAAGTGATCGTTATTAAGTAATAACTTTTAACATTTATAACATGTAACAATATTGTGAAAGCTACAAGTCATGTTTTTACTTATCTTGTGTTTTTTTGCTTGATAGAGAGATAAAGCAAAAAATTCTGCAAACAGAACAGGAAGTAACAGATAGCAGTGAAGCTTATAACAGCGCGAAACAAAAACTTAAGACTGCGAATGACGCGCTCTCTAATAAGCAACGTGAGTGGCGTACTATATCAAACAAAATAAAACGATTTGAAGAAGATGTTCAGTTGCTGAAAAAGGAAATTATAAAATTAGAAAGGTAAAATATTTCTATAACAATGTTTTTACTATTTTTTTTTTTAGTTTTTAATATTAATATATTTTACATATATCTTTTACAGCTGCAATGATGAAGAACACAACAAAAGAAAAGAGATGAAAGAGCAGTTGTCAAAGTTGGAAGAACAACTGGATGAACTCGATGCCTCGTTACGTACTAAGCAAACGGAATTAATGCATTTGGAGGCTGATAAGATGCGACTTCTGCAGGAAGTACAATCTGCCAAAAACGAAGCTGAGAATTTTAACAGACAAATAAGTAAGTCATCAATGACAAATTAGTAATAATGTACTCATGTATAATCAGTAACTCACGTAATCTAAAAATATACAATTTTATTTTATGAAACTCAAGATAAGATCAAAAAAGATTTGAGCGCAGTCGAGCAACAATCGGATAATGCATTGAGTGTATTTGGGCGAAACATACCACGCCTATTGAAGAGAATCGAAGAGGAATTTAAGAAAAATCGATTCAAGGAAAAACCACGCGGCCCTATTGGTATGTAAAGTTATTTCGTAATGGATGAACTTCTGTGAAATTATTCTCAGTTTTACTTTATTAAATTATGAGATTATGTAGGTGCTTTCATAAAACTGAAGGATGCAGCTTGGGCACCGGCAGTAGAAAATTTCTTCGGTTATCGCTTCCTTAGCTCATTCTGCGTGGATAATAGTCAGGATGCCAAGTTGTTGACCAGTATTATGAAGGAAATTTTCTACAACGAGAACCCTCTCCAAATAATATCTAGCAAATTTTTTTACCAGGTAAGAGAATGTAATCTTTTTTTATTATTTTAATATTTTGAAATTGAAATATTTATTGAGAATAAATAGAAATTAATATAAATACAATATA